ATTATATTGCTGCCGAACTGCATCTTTTTTTAACTAGCCTATACGTGCAAGAGCTGCATCGTCGAATAAAACAATAAAATTGATAATAAATCAAAACTGTGTGATGGGTAGGGTTGGGTACCGAACTCGGTACTTTTAAGAGCACCGACCGAATTGCGTCAATACTACAGAGTACCGATTCACGTTAAATCAATCGGTGTCAAATTTCGGTACCTGAGAACGCATCTGGGCGCGGAAACACGGTTTTGTTTACTACACAAATACTGAAGCACGCGTGACGCTCGCGGTGATTTTCGGCCTCTGTGTCTCACTATATGACGGCATGAACACAAAAACTTAATCTCCAGAGCTGCTGTGAGAGTCACTTCGCGAGAATTTTACCGTTTCATTTGAGAAAACTATTTTACCGTTTCATTTGAGAAAACTAGCATCATCATTCTGTATACACACAGAAACTTCATGGCAACCTGTCAAAATAAAAGTACGGTTTAACATGTAACAGAAATATATTACACTTGTATTACTTTTGTAAAGTATAATGTACATCTTTAAATATTCCACATTTAAGTAAAACAACTAAATGATAAAAATAAATATTACAACTAGATTAATCATTTAATTGTAGAAAAAAATAATACAATTATTGGCCTATTAAAAAATGTTTTAAAGTAATATTAACAAAATTTTTCTTCCATGTATTAATTTCAACAGTAAACCTCAGTTTGATTGCCAAAAAATAAAAGGGTTTAATTTTCATTTGATTTAAAATAAATGTTTAATGCCTTCATTTGATTTTCAGAAAATATTTCTGAATTTCTGGGGAAAAAAAAGAAAAAGTTTGTAGGGCCCTATTGTTCAAAATGTTGAAACTGAGACTTTTGGACTTATTTTTTCATTGAAATATATGTTTTTGTAAATACACAGAGTAAAGTACCGAAAAAAGGTACTGTTGGGTACCTGCACCGAAATTCAGGTACCGATACCGGTACCGTACCGGTTAAAATGTGAACGGTACCCAACCCTAGTGATGGTAGCTAGCTAGTTGAAAAGACTATCACAACTATCACATCTAGCTTCAGCGACATCTGCACCATTTTAAAGGAGTCATATGATGCTGCTAAAAAGAACATTATTTTGTAAGTTACGCCTTCTTTCTTTGCGTGAACGTTTGGGCGGCGTTATGCAAATCTTCTCACATCGTGACGTAGACATGTGGGGTGTGTTAGAACGAGCCGTTTTAGGTAGGCGTGGTTGACTTTTAACTTTTATAAAGAATATCTCTTTGGATTTGAGACTTTAGTCTTTGCAACTTTACAGATCTTCTTTATGCACCAAGAGCTTGTAACACTCCAAAGAGAAAGGAAAAATTGAAATCGCATCATATGACCCCTTAAATTCTCTCTTTTTCATTTTAATTCTCTTTTGTGGCTTCAGTGGATCGCTCATTTTCAAAGCTTAAGCTAATAAAAAAATGATGTGCTGAGCACCATTGCCCATCATAAAACTAGCCATTTTTCCCCATTGAGAATACACTAAGTCTACATTTAAACACCAAGGACATTGTGGATGAATTTGCCGAAAGAAAGGTCCGGAGGATATATGCAACTAAAATGAGTGAGTTGTTTTTGTTTGTTTGTTTTTTGGGCCACTGTGCCAAGATTGTGTTTGCATGCAGTACAAATACAGCGCCGTTTTAGTGCCACGTTGAAAAATACATAAATAAGATTAACGTCATGATATTTTTACAATAAAGTCAAAATTACAATAATAAAATCATGTTATATTGCTTAAAGTCAATGTGAAAATTCCATCTACTTCGCCACTTCGTCTGTGGCATCCAACCTGTCATTCTTCACATTTAACATGAAAAACAGCAATAAAAACGTTCTAAAAGTGAAAGCAGGCTCCAACTCGGTTAACTGACTGATTTATGATAATAATATAACAATGTTGGCAAAGTTATATTGTTGGCTTTTCTGAGGTAGGCTAAATGTTATGTTACGACTATTCCACAAGCTGTTTTATTGATGTTTTTTGAAACACTGATTGATCGATTACATGAGACATTAGTTTTGTTAAATTGTAAATCGTAAATTAATTTGGGCGTACAATTTTTTTTTTGCATATGGGCCTGGGGCTGACTTGCTACGCCACTGATCTAGCTTTCTTTTCATTTGCTGTTTCGGAAACCAAACCGACCAAAAGAGAGTCGGACTTGTAACCCAAAGGTTGCGAGTTCGAGTCTCAGGTCCAGCAGGAATTGTAGGTGGGGGGAGTGAATGTACAGCGCTCTCTTCCACCTTCAATACCATGACTGAGGTGCCCTTGAGCAAGGCACCGCACCCCCAACTGCTCCCCGGGCGCCTCAGCATAAATGGCTGCCCACTGCTCCGAGTGTGTGTTCACGGTGTGTGTGTGTTCACTGCTGTGTGTGTGCGCACTTTGGATGGGATAAATGCAGAGCACTAATTCCTAGTATGGGTAACCATACTTGGCCACATGTCACGTCACTTCACTTCATTTATCTTTACTTCTTTATAGAAAAATCTAATGACCAGAAAGTACACGGACCCAATCTTTATATGTGTTTTTCGTTTTGATTTTGTAAAGAAATAATGAAATAAGTTGTTTTTCCCGATTTAATTAGCCTAATTGAACGAATGATACTAACAATTAAGTGAACATGACCACTGAATGTGATTTGTTTTGCCGTTTGGATTTACCTGGTTACTTTAACTGTATTGTTAAAAAAGACAGTTGCAAAAACGAAAACATTACTGGCACAAACCAGCACAAACGAAGCACAAACAAACTAGACTATTTGGGGTGAGTTTGGACTATGTGGGGGGCTGAGTGACGTCACTGCCTATAATTCGATGTCTAATATTTTAAAAACCGAAGCAGCACAAACAAAACTTTAACCAGAACAAACCAGCACAAACAAAGCACAAACAAACGAGACTATTTGGGGAGAATTTTGAGTATGTAGGGGGGCTGAGTGACCTCAGAATGATCAATAAAAAAAATTTTAATATCTAAAAAAAGCAGCACAAATTGGATATTTGAGGTGATAAAATTTACATTTTAAAGGCACAATGTAAGATTTTCGTAATAAAATACCCAAAACCCACTTGCACAGTGTTATATATTTCATGCAGTTGTGTATTTACGTTAACCCAAAAGTTCCCAAGAATTTGTAAATCCAGAGAAATTCCAATTTTAAATAATGGCTCGTTCCGGTTCATTGTCGCCTATCAATGACGTAATATCCGTGTTATCAGTTTCCGCTTTTAGAAACTATGGCAACACACGTGGACAAAAAGGCTGCTGTACAGATAAACTAAATCCATTATGGCTGTCGCGAATAAAATGAAAATGAAATGAAAAGTGCTGACTGCAACATTAAATTTAGATCTGCTCAATGTTGCACCATGATTCTTTTTCCACGTTTTTACAGTGTTGCGCATTATAACTAATCACACACACGAGTCAGTTGAGCTTATGAATGCAATGGCCAATCAGAGGCGTTCAGATGAGCCATCGCTGAAAGCCTGGAGTTTTGTTGTTCAGTGCATGCACTCGCTGACTGAATTCTGCTATCGCGAATTCACTCATCAGAAACAACAAAGTGCAGATGTAGGTAGGCTGCGTGTTTTGAGTTTGAGCTCCGTCAAGTTAATTCTTTATAGTCTATTTTTGATCTTAAAAT